CTTATTTTAATGTTCACATTCCATAAAAAATCAATTCGAATTATCAAATGACAACAAAGGCCCTTGCCATTGGCTACAAATTACTAATACCGAGGCAATCTTGCTTTGCTGCTATTGTCTTGTTACTGTCCCTTTCGAACAGGGTAATTTTTCAAATTTATTTACTCCCTAAATTAAGCGTGAAAATATGTAGCCTATAGCGTGTCGTAAGTGTAAGGCTTTTTACTAAAGACCAGCTGTTCCCGTGCGACTTCATCCGCATGAAATTATGAAAATTTTATTTTATTGTTTACATTTGTTAAATTACCAATTACAAATGTCAAATTGACATGACATGACAAACCTTAGCAATCTTGCTTTCTTGGTGTTGGCAGCAACTTATGGTCTCTTTCCCACATTAGGGTTTTTATCCAAAATGTTTACCTCCTAAGTTTAATGGCGTGAAAATATATAGCCTAAAGCGTGATGTAAGCGTAGGGCTTTTTATAAAAAAAAAGAATTATTCAAAAATATGCTGTAATTGCTGACATCTTAGGCAACAAAGAAGTGTGTGTTTACGCTTTATTTATTGATATAGACTGGTAAAGATCGAATTACACAATCTTACATATGTTTCAATACTCATTTGTCAAAAATACACTCTAAACGTTAGTCTTATAGCCTTGAAGTATGTTTAAACTCAAATTTATTTATAACACGTTGTTTGTCAGGCGGAACGTCTCCACAAGTCAGTAAACATGCTACTGGAATGGCTGTCGGACGCCGAGACCAAGCTGCGGTTCTCCGGCCAACTCCCCGAAGGAGACCACGAGACCGCGCTCCAGATCCAGGAGCACGAGCGCTTCGTGCGGGAGTTGGGGGAGAAGCAGCGGGACAAGGAGGAGACGATCTCCCTCGCTCAGTCTATCTTGGCGAAGGCGCATCCTGACGCAGTCACTGTTATTAAACACTGGATAACTATTATACAAAGTCGATGGGATGAGGTAAGTTAATGAAATACTAGCTGTTCCCGTGCGGATTTATCCGTAAGAAATTATAAAAAAATTATTTTACTGTTTACATTTGTCAAATTCTCAATTGAAAATGTCAAAATACCTTTTACCTTACTATAGCAATCTTACTTCCTTGATGTTGGCAGCAACTTATAGTCTCTTTCCCCCATTAGGGTTTGTATCCAAAATATTTACTCCCTAAGTATAATGACGTGAAAATATATAGCCTAAAGCGTGACGTAAGTGTAGGGCTTTTAATCTAAAAAGAATTGTTCAAAAATATGCTGTATTCGCTGACATCTTAGTCAACAAATTATGTGTTATTAAATTACAAAAAAAAAACATATAAAAAAAACAAAAGTATACCATGTTCTTTCAGACTATACATCTATGGAAACCTTTGAGATTCTTTCAGCAGTTTAGGCTACAAACTCTAACAAACATCCATCTTAACTTTCGCATTTATAATATTAGTAAGATTTTTTTATGCTATTTAAATTACGACAAATACCTCTTACTAACATTATGAATGCAGATTTTAAAATGGATGGATGTTTGTAAGAGTTTGTAGCTGCTTGTAGAGGATTGTCCGCAAAAATACATAGGCTACATACTTTTATTTTTTTCATCCACCAAGAGTCGTGGGTTAAAACTAGTACGCTGTTATTACTATATGTTTTTTTAAATTTCGCGTAAATGTAGTAGCGAGCAAATGTTAATTTATATTGATTTTCATTTATTTTATCGTTATCGCGTCTTCAAGGATTATTAACGAAATGCAAGAATAACAAACAGTTATCTAATCATTTTTTTATCTTTAATTGATGTTTTGGTTTTCCTTGCACAATTAAATTTATTTTAATTCGTTTATATAACGCGGTAACGTATGTGTTGTTTTTTTAAATAAAATGTTTTCAAGTAAAAGTCAACTTGTAGTGTCAGTGTTACCATATGTGCGTATTTTTAGTAAAGTCTCTGCAGGACAGGTATGAAATAATAATAAAACGGAATAATTATTTATCTCTCCTTTCTGTTCTGTTCTTTAGAATGATATATCTTCCTTCTTGATCGTGTTGAATCTCTTTCTAGACCAGCATAATTGGATACCTCGATAATTATAATTTAATTCTTAACATATCTGCTTACTCCTTTTCTATATCTATACTAATATTATAAAGAGAAAAGATTTGTATTTTTGGATTTATGTATGGAACTATGAAAAATTACTGGGCTGATTTCAAAAATTCTTTCACCGTTAGAAAGCTACGTTGTCACTGAAGAAAATAGGCTATGTTTTGTACTGTTGTTTTAATTTCACGTGGACAAAGTCGCGAGCAACAGCTAGTGGGTTATAGACCTGAGTATAATAATTGCATATTTCTTGAAAGAAACTCAATAATTTCCTCGTATACCCCTTTTAATTTGGCACGTCGGATATATGGGTGTTCTTCTGTCGCACGTGCCAACTGAAGCAAATGTTTGACAAAGTAATCTGTTAGGTATGGCAATGGGCGATGCAACGCGGCACCAAGCTGGAGACGCACATGAAGAGCCTTAAGGACTTGGATCTGGTGCTGGAGGAGCTGCTGCAATGGCTCACTGGACTGGAGAACACTTTGATATGTAAGTATTGTCTATACTAGTATTATAAAAAGAAATGGTTTGTATTTTTGTATGTATTGAAATAACTCCAAACGTACTGGGCTGATTTCAAAAAATCTTTCACCGTTAAAAAGCTATGTTATCCCTGAATAGGCTAAATTTTACGTGGACTAAGTTGTAAGCAACAGCTAGTACAGAATACGAGTATATTCTGAACTTGGTTTTTAAAATACCCTTCGAAATATGTTTAGATAGAATAGTAAGTGTGGAAGGAACAGATACATATTACTCCCGCGTCCTCGCGCAGTCAAAAAACTATGGGTTCTTGCCAAAATGTATAGATGTATGTATATTACAATTATGTTGTTACAGAATGAATTTCTGCAAAAAAAAAACAATAAAAACCAGATGCCATCAAAAATGAAGTTAAGCATTGTTATAGTAATAAAATATTATATTACAGCGATGGAATCTGAACCGCTACCGGAGTCGATTGAACTTCTAGAAGGACTCATAGAAGATCACAAGGAGCTGATGGAGCACACACAGAAGAGACAGAACGAAGTCGACAGGGTGTGCAAGGCTTACCAGGTAAAGTAACAGATTGGATGGATATTACTAATACTCGTTACTCCAAAACGATAAAACCTCTGGATTAAATTTGCCACAGATGTGGGACAAAGACAAAGAACATTAGCTATTTACTGAGTTTTTAAGACGAAATCGTGGGCAAAAGCTAGTATGTAATCAAGATAAGGTCAAAATAATAGAAATGTGTATTTTTTTATTAGGTGAAGAGTCAAAGTCAAGGTCGTGAGACCACAACACGCAAGGTGTCAGCCAAGAGCGCGACGAAAGGAACACCTGGGTATGCAATTTTGTACCTTACTAGCAAACATATAAGGTTGAATTTTGCTTTGATTTTTGTTTCTCGAATTCATTTGTCATTATGCCTTTTAGTTGTACACTTGACACTTGACTCGTGTCAAAATCTGTCAAACTGCAGCTTGTCACGTTTCGTGTTGTCGTATTTGGGATAGATGAGTATAGACTTACAAGGATCATATGGCAGTTGGCAATTTTATGAACTAACAATGACTTGCAAGAGTCAAATTTAGAGCGGCAGCAACTGCACGAATACCGATATTTTTACAACCTCTGAATTTTAAGAAAAATAGCAAATAATTTGATTTTGTTTTTAACATGGGAGAATTTCGAAAGAAGTTGGGAATTTTATTGCTTCCTGGTAACTCTATAAATTAGCAACCAATGTCATTGTCAAAAAACTGCCATAATATCCTTGTAGGTCTATACTGATTTTATTTTTGTGTAGCTTTTCATTTATGTTCGTTTCATTCCGTTTTCGTTGGCATCGTTCATGCACGCGTCATGACGTCATTGCACGGGGTTGCCATGACAGGCGCGGCTCGCAGCACGACCTGCATAGAGATCGTTCGGTGTCGCCAGATTATTACGGCAGTAGGAGATTCAGGTTAGTTTTCTACAGAAGTCGTCTTATTTTTGTGTGTTTAGCAAATATTTTACAATAAAAAAAGTCCTTTACTTTTTCGATATAACTTAATTTTTCAACTTTTCTTTTATTAAAGAAATATTTGCTATGCTGTTGTTTACCTATTTTTTTTTCAATCACATCTCATTAAGCTTCTAAATGTTAATTTGTAATTACAAATGTCGCCAGAGAATTAATATTGATATTTGATTTAGTCTTAATGTCAAATAACTAATTTTTTAACAGCCTTAGCGTAGAATTAAAAAAAAAAGTATAATCCGTGCTACTCACTGATAACGTAGCTTTTTATTGGTAAAACAAATTTTGAAATAGGTTCAGTAGTTTTTGAGTTATTTCAATACATACAAAAATCCAAAAATACACGTTTCCTCTTTATAACATTAGTATAGATAACACAAATGTCAAAGTGACAGTTAAATGTCAATACATTCTCTGTGGACATGTAACATAGCTTGTTCTCGCTCTAACACGTGTAAATGTGGCTTTCTGTCTCGTTCATGTCACGCTCGATGTTCACATGTTGGGGCAGGTCCAGGATTCACAGTGGAAGTAGGAGAGGAAGGTTTGATGTCATTTTTATCTTATTTTGTGTGGTTTTCTTTGTAGTTTTATAGATATTAGAGTATTTTTAGTTTGCACTTATTGACAATTAAGTCAAGTTGAGGGACTTTTGGAAAATAATTTAAAAAAAAACTATAAAAGACTATCGGTACTTATGAGGATTTTCTAAATGAAAACCCCTTTGGTTTTGCTAAGTTTCGAGTTTCGATTAAAGTATCTAGTGTTCAAAAGTGAAAAATAATTCCCATTGCATATAACATCTTAAACTACCCAACCTGATAAGACATTATTGAATACATATTGTTACAGCAAAATTCCTTCAATTTGTCATATTATTTTCTCTTAGTACATCAGACTTGCATCCTTTCTCTGTGTTTTTTAGTTAGATTTCTTTCTTACTTGCTTGCTTACGCTTGTATATTTTTACGCGTGAGATTCCACTGCCGTAACACACCCAAAAACACATTATTATACTTCGAGATTTAAAAAGACATAACAACAATTTCTCTCTAGTTTTCGGCAGTTAAAATATGCATGTTATAACAATTCCAACTTTAAATTAAATAATTTACGATATTATTTTCTCTAACACACAAAAATGTCACTTCTCTAGCAATTTATAATAAACTTTCCATCACGCATTCAACTAATTTCAACTATCTTAATACACTAACTATGGTTAACTATAACAACTAAAAATCGGATACGGTTAATTAATATATTTCGATATCGTTGACTACCTTTCGAGGATCAATAACATCCCAACTAACATCCCGGTATTATAACTTCGTAGTCGACTAAAAGACTAACGCACTATCTATATAAGTGTGGGCGCTTGTTATTTGATTGTTGCGTGTGCAGTCGCGTGAGCCCCGGCCGAGAGACCCCTGACCGCAATCTCCCGCACTACGGCCCCAGATTCCCGCCTAGGGGCAGGTAAGATCCAAACATACAAAAACGAAAATTAAATCCATACAAAATAATGAAAATCAATACATATTCAAAATCTCTTAGCTATTTCATACATAAATGCCATTTTAACGAAACTTCAGTGGCGCTAGTGTGCTCACGAATTTACTAGCGCTATAGATTATTAAACTGTACAGTTTGGGGGTTGTTAAAATAACATATTTGTTAGGGGTTGTAAAATTAACATTAAAATGTTATGTGTATAACTAAGGTAAGCACTTATTCTCTTCATTTTATCATAGAACATCACAACCATTCAACTTGGCAGTGGTGTGAACAAGCTTGTGTTTTCCCGCATTTTTATAGTCTATGGCTATTTAGCTTTTATATATGTTTAGTTAGATGTTTTAGCTTTTAATGATTGCAAGATAATTATGAGCATGTCAAACAAACAAACGTTTGTAGAACATAATTATTGATGTTCGACTTTTAATTTGTTGAAAACATTAGGTGGAGACCCACCATCAAATAGTTGACACTATTATTATGAGAAATAAAGCAACTAAACGATCTAGTGGACCTTTTAAAGTCTCTCTAGGAAGTTAATTCAATGCTTCAACTCGTTAGGGATCTTAAATGAAGAGTGAAGTCGTCAAGTATGATAGAATACCATCCAAAATAAACGTCCACCTAAAAGTCAGCACATAGGCATCGCCAACTGATGGTCTAGGTTAGGTCTCTAAGTAGACAGTGTCAGGAACTTCCCTCAATCCCCTGAAAATGCTCTTGAGAACGCAGCTAACCTTGTTTGATGACATGGTTTATTTTCCTCACACAGTAAGGGCCTAGAACCAGAGTTCCGTTCTCCACGCGTGAAATCTTTGTGGGACAAATGGCGTACAGTGTGGCTGCTGGCGTGGGAGCGACAGCGCAGGTTACACGAACGTCTCGCACATCTTCATGAACTACAGCGTGTTTCCAACTTCAGCTGGGATGATTGGAGGAAGCGGGTATGTGTGTTCAGCTTTCTATTAGTTGTTTCGCATCGTTGAACAAGAAGTGGAACACCGCGAGATTCAGTAATTATACATTTAATATTTTTCAACAGTTCCTCAAGTTCATGAACCACAAGAAGTCTCGCTTGACGGACCTGTTCCGCAAGATGGACAAGGATAACAACGGTCTCATTCCACGGAACGAGTTCATCGACGGCATTATTAACACCAGTAAGTATTCTTTAATTAACAAAACACAGACAAAAAGAACACCCTGTACGACAGACAAAAAGAACACTTGTACTACAGACAAAAAGAACATCCTGTACCACAGACAAAAAGAACACCCTGTACCACAGACAAAAAGAACACCCTGTACCACAGACAAAAAGAACACCCTGTACCACAGACAAAAAGAACACCCTGTGCCACAGACAAAAAGAACACCCTGTACCACTGACAAATAGAACACCCTGTACCACAGACAAAAAGAACACCCTGTACCACAGACAAAAAGAACACCCTGTACCACAGACAAATAGAACACCTGTACCACAGACAAATAGAACACCCTGTACCACAGACAAATAGAACACCCTGTACCACAGACAAAAGAACACCCTATAACACAATCTATATACACTATTTGTTTATTAAAAACTTCATAGACTGACTACAACATTGATGTCTGATCGAATACCACTTTACTCGTTCAAAACCGTTCATTTATGTTACAGGATGTAACAGAACTTAGATAAAAATATACACACGTGAAACATTTAGCTCCAGTAAAATCTAGTATGTTTAAGATAAAAAGCTTTACAGCCGACTAAATGCTAACAAAGGTATAGACCAGGCACAGGATGTTTATACTGATATTTTGTATTATCTCGGTTTTAACGTCTTGTGTAAATATTTACGGAATTCAAATCAGATACTTGTGTTGACTTTGGCGTTGTAGAGCGCCGTTGGGCGATAGAAAAGCGCCTTAAAGTCTCATTACAGTCAACAAAAGCTTCTTAAACCTAAAGTATGGTAAAACGTCGCCGTAGATATCTCGCTAAACGTTGAAACCGGGACTTTCTCCTATTTTGCTTTTTAACTTTTTCTTGCATATAAAATCCAGTGAGTAAGAAAGAATTGAATTTAGAAATGACGGATGATAAAGATGTATGGAAGGAGAACATACTGAGTTGGAAGTCGATAATTAATTTCTTAAACATTACGTTGAAAAGGCTAAATTTATATAAATTGTTTAAAGAATTTGCCTCATTGCATCTAAAACATTCTAACCGTTCAACTCTACCTGAAACTACGACAAAATAGTGTGTAAATGCAGTCTCAAGGCAGTAGAAGCCCACACTAAAAGTGTAAATGTATGACAGAATTCGACACATCCCGTCTGGAGATGGGCGCGGTAGCTGACCTGTTTGACAGGAATGGCGGCGGACTCATCGACTGGGAGGAGTTCATTGCGGCTCTCAGGCCGGACTGGGTAAGTTATAGTCAAACAATAATACTGCAAATTGACAAAACTACACATGGTAATACTAAAGTAATAAAGCAATAAGCTAGCGTAACTTTCATTCCTGTGCCTACCCTTTTTTAGCAAGGAAAGGACGGTGGTAAAGGGAAATAACATATAGTACTTCTGTGTGAGATGGTCACTTACTTATTTGTCTCTTATACGGTATTTTTTTTTCTAAATAAAGATGTCATCTTATTGAAGTAGTCAAAATCAAGTCTACAATCTATTTTCGACATTATGTCAATAAAAAAATGGTCCAAAATAGTGTAAAACTAGTATAAAATCAATGATTTTTGTATCGAAACAACTTATCTTTTACTGATAGTATCTTTGAAGAGATTGTGTCTCATAACGCGGTTATCTACTTTAGAAGTAAGTCTAAATTTCTTAGAATAAGAAATAATCACTGTACTCAATAATATAAAAAAACTCAAGTTTTGTCCAATGACAGCGGTTCGTAATTAGTTTTTGATGTCTCACGAAAGTTTAAACAATATCACTTTATTTCCTATAGGTCTAATGTCGAAGACAGGAAGCCTACGTTCTGTCTTGTCGCTTTATTTAGGTTTAAATTGGCGAAATAACTTTGTACCCTAGGTATTTCCAGAGGTCATGTTTCGGGTTTGTAAACGCAGTAATGTGTAGGTGGAGCGACGCGGGCCGCCGACGGACGCCGACAAGATCCACGATGAGGTGAAGCGGCTGGTGATGCTGTGCACCTGCAGACAGAAGTTCCGCGTCTTCCAAGTCGGCGAGGGGAAATATCGGGTGAGTCACATGTCAATAATGTTGCCGTATTGAAAAAAAAATATGAGCTGTTGCTCACGACTTCATCCGCATAAAATAAAAAAAAATACAAAAATTATAATATAATTATACAAATATTATTATTATTATTAAAATGGTGAAAGAATTTATGAAATCTGTCCGATATTTTTTGAGTTATTTCAATACATACAAAAATACAAATATAACCTCTTTATAATATTAGGTATGAAAATCAATTTTCTTAATTCAAAGAAAACACAAGAATTTAGACTTGTCATGTTTGTTAGAGTTTGTAGCCTAAACTGCTGAACGGATTTCCAATAAATTTGTCACAGATATATATGATAGTCTGGAAGTACACAAAGGCTTACTCTTGTTTTTTTAAATACACCGGACGGAGTCGCGGGCGAAAGCTAGTGTAAAATAAATGTATTAACAGCTAGTTCTGGTATAAAATTGTAAGCATATAATGGTGTCGAACAGTTCGGAGACTCTCAGAAGCTCCGGCTGGTGCGTATCCTGAGGTCCACGGTGATGGTGCGCGTGGGCGGCGGCTGGGTCGCATTAGATGAGTTCCTCGTCAAAAACGACCCCTGCAGAGGTATGTCCTATCTATTTTTTACTCTGTGGTAAGATTTAGGAAGGTAAAGCTGGCAACATTTTTTTTGTAACAATAAAAGTGCTAATTTGTATAATAAAAGTCCTTTTTATTTAATCAAGGCAGTAACGAGTCAAATAAATGGGTTATAGGTAGGGTGGAGCAAAAAAAACTGTATGTTCGGAAAATTTTAGACACCCTATGGCTCCTTTTTTCTTCATAAACTATGAACAAAGAATCGTGATTTATCTGTTTTTGGTTACTTTAAGGTACCGCATTGCTCTACAATGCTCATTTCTTATGTGAGGATTTTTTTCAATTTCCTCTATAACTTAAATAGCTTTTTTATAATCATATTGAACAATAAATTTAGCCTGTCTTGGTTATAGCCATCTTAAAATGATGTAATGTTGACCTTTGGGAAATCCCGAGGCATTGCATTAGGATTGGCCTCACAAAATCAAACACTGTTTATATTGGTAACAAACCAGTGCAGTAGAAAACAAGCAGATTGGTTATTTATGGTTATATTTAAATTAAATTGAAAAATAAAACATATAATGTTGCCATCTTCACCGTCCTTCATGATTGTGTTGTCTATTGGTAAAAAATCTTGTCTTAAGTATGAGGAAAACTGATTTTTTTGTTTTAAATTTTACGAATTAACTAATGGTCAGTCGTTATAATCGTATTTATTATAAAATTCTGTAGAAAGTTTATTATAAATATTTTATTTAACAACTGATTGTTAAAAATACAACGCAAAAGTTTATTTAAAATTTGGACCATTCAATTTTCCTCATCATAATCTTAGTCAAAAGAATACTTGATTAAAAAATGGATTTTTTTATTTGAATTGATATGAACTGAATATTTTAATATATTTAAACCTGTAAATTATACAAATTTACTTTTAATTAAATATTTAGCTTTAAAAATACAATTTTTTAAAATAAGCAAATTCTTATTTATTACAGATTTACAGGTTTAAATACTGCCAAATTGCAAAATGTTACTATTAACAAAAATAAATAAAAATCTCTAATACAATTTGTTCAATTTGTAATTTGGCTCAATATAATAATTTTCTATATGTGAAAACTTGTATTTCACATGCAGAATATAAATGATTTTATTCAAAGTGTCAATCAGAATTCGTTTCGGGTTTTTATGTGTTAACACCCTAACAAGGGCAGTAATTAACCGCAGGTATTGACGGGGACAACATGTGAATGCTTGTGTTATAACAAAAATAACCATAAAGTTTTTAACGTTTTATTACTACAGATTACATCGGTAAACACTAATACAAAAACTGGCAACATCTAAATTCTTAAATCTAAAAATACTGTTGAAAATGCAATTTTTTTCATTTGATTTTATCACAGAAGTTGTTAAGTCGCAATACAAATGTTTAAAATCGTTTCGAAAGATTAAATTAAGATAAATATTAAGTTTATTGAGAATTCTGAAATATTAAAATACTACATTCTATTCTAGTACAAAATGAGATTCATAAAATTCATTAGTTTGCTTGAATAAGCTACAAGCCTAAAGATTAAATATAGAAATTCAAAAACGTTAAGACCTTACATAATACTGGTTAATATCGCTTAAAGGCAAGAAAAGCCAAAAGTTGAATTCAATCGACAGTTGTCTTTCTAATAAAAGATGTGAGTGATGAAATCTCACTATTATGTTCACTCGGCAAGGGACTAAACTCAATCTCCTCGCTCAAATTCTGAGTATCCGAAGTATTCACATTGACTGGCCAATGCTTGTGACTCGGTGCATACAGTACAAGTAGGGCAAAGATGTAAATATTCCACATTCCGTACACTCCAGTGAAGAACGCTGAAGTATATTCGAGCTCAATGCTCTCATCCCACTTCCATTGGCCTTCAGCAACTTGTCCCAGTATAAAACCGATCACAGTCAACGCAGCGCAGAGTAAAGTTGCCAACATCAAAAATTTGAATCTGTATATTATCCCCTCATAGTGCAAACGCCTAACGCTGCACATTGTCGGTAGTGATTGACGTTTCTGAGATATATTAATGAAAACCTGCCAAACCATGTAGCATAAAAATAGAAAATAAACTCCAGTTGATATCCCAGCAAGTATTATGAAAGTCAAAGCCAGGTTAGTTCCAATATCAGTCACCCAGATGGAGTAGAATGGGTTTCTTAACTGTACACCTCTTTCGCACATATCAAATATGAACAATGAGATACAACCCATTGCAACTGCGCTCAAATGTCTCCAATACTTTTGCAGAGAGCTTTGTGCTGATGTATCTTGTATTAACATGTGCTCACCGGCAAATACCAGCCAGAATGAAAATAATGTTGCATAAAAAACTCCTTGCTTAATATCGCCTAAAAGCAACATGAATGGAAGATCAAAATGGAGTGTTAAATATTCAAATGGCATATTGAGAAAACACAATGCAATACCAAGACATAAAAGCATTTTCTCTAATAATACAGGCTTTCTTTGTAACATATGTATGCGATTCCAAAACCATGTCAATATTCCAATGATACATGGGAAGAATATGGTTTTTAATGATAACCATACTTTAGTAAAACCTCCATTTTGATTTATTACAGTAAGCCAGATATCTTGTATGTGCCCTATGTTGGTATTCATGCTTGGCGTGTCCACTGGCAGTCTAATATTGAGTAAATAAAAGTCATGGTGCAATGAACCTAGTTCAAATAGTGGAATAGCTGAGCAATTATACAAATATTCTTCAGTTTTCAATTCAATGTCACAGTCCAAATGTCGTTTTTCTACCGATTGTGTGTAAAGTTTCCACCCGTCGTCCGCATCGCCTTTGTTTTTATAAGCGAGCCGCGCATCGATCGTAATAGTACTTCTGGGCTTCACTTCCATTTGCGAATGGTACTTTAAATCTACTAGTAGGACACCGATTAAATTCTGTTGCCATCTGGAGAAATCTAATGTTCTGCTGTCGCGAGGAACTGGCATTTGGAATGCAAAAACAACATCTGTCTCCGACAAGTCTTGATGCATGTCGCCGAGTTCGATCGACTTACACGAACCTTTGCCGCGGTTGTAAAACCACGTTTTCGTATCGTTTTTCATCGTAGTCGTGTCCTTGCATACTGTACCGAGAATATTCTGAACACTAGCTGGCGTGGGTGCGATTAAACCTCCGATGAGAAAAGATGTAACTTGACATAACAAAAGAAACGTAACTAATACGGCAAGTTTTCGACCGCTTAGGTTTTCTATTATTGTTCCTGTCATTTTAATACACACTTTTCGCGTATTTAACTTAAATGTATCCCTATTTTAAGACATAAAACCGGTTTTCATTGTTGTCTACCACAAAAATGTCGACCGAACCGACGCGACCGTGATTAATAAATTGATGCGATGTTTTTGACATGCGCGAACAAAGATGTTGCCAGTACAATACATAACGCCATATTCAAGTAGCGGTTATTTTTTAACGACGCTATAACATTTCGTTTCGTTATAGTTTTCATGCGTTTTAATTTAATTTATAAATGAAAATGAAAGCGGATCCACATAAATATCACAGTAGTATTTCATGGCTACTTCACAATTCACGATACATTTGTAAAAGTTAAAATGCTAATAGCAACAGAGTGCAGCTAAATACAGTAAGCATCAAAATTTTTCTGGACAAATATTGACGTCGCTACTAATTTACTAATTCGTATTCGCTTGACCCAATCCGACTCCTATTTCCATTATTTTTATTTTGGTTCATATTGTTTATTGATTTAATTCCTTCCTTAACAATCCCTTAATGAGTAGTATCGTTAGTGCTACCGCTACCTGACCCGAGCAAGCCGGAGCAGCATGAAGCTTGTTGCCCGCTCGGTAAGACTACACGACGTGCTTCCAGAACCTTCCTTTAAAAAAACAATATTTTACAGAAAATCATATTTTTAATAATCAACGCAAGAAATGTAGTTTAAAGGTCGGTTCAAATGCGGTCCGTAGTACCATGGTGTGGCCTAAATATAATTTGGCAATGTTTTAATAATTTGCTACATTTATTTTTTTAAATATACAATATGTGCTTATGTAGCAATCAAAATTAGCTAGAAAAGCACGTAAATATTTGGAATTAATGGCTTTAAAATTATTTACTTGGTACACATAACTTTTTTAGTACATATTTTTGCTTTTTTTAATTATTATAGCATGAAAATGGTATTTGGTTGCATTTAGCGTTTTTATAATTATTTTTTATGAAGTAGAGACTAATTTATAAATAAAACAAGTGCAAGTCCATAATGCTCTCATGTAAATACTCATTTGAAATAAGCAATTAGAACAACATTATAACGAGATAAATTCCATATGTTTTACTTTTGTAATAGATTCCACATGTTATGAGTTGTAATTGAAATAAAAATTGAATGATCTTGCTCTTGGTTTGTTATATTTGCATAAAAATGGTGAAAGACTGAACTAATGGTATTTTTATAACTCCTACTCCTAACTGCACATTGTTGTATAAAACCGATTTTTTTATGTGTTATGTTGTTTTGTTTGACTTTTTCTGATTTTGTTTGTTATTTTTTTCCCTCCTTTTTACCTAACTACCATTGCACGATTCCTTGTTTTTTTACACTGTTGTGTTTT